GTTATCCGTTTATTTATGACGAATCAATGGTTTTACACGAAATGAAAGATGATAAAAGGGTCAAAAGAGTAACATTATCATACAGCGAGAAATTAGCATTTCTATTTGAAGGAATCTTGGTGTATGATATATATCGATAGAAAGGTTAAAGAATCTGTGAAAACCATCATAATAAAATGACGAGATTGATAAAATCATAATTCAACAAGAAAATTCGTATCAGAGTTAAATGCGTGTATAACAAAATTCGATTAAAATAAAATGTAATTTTAAAATTTTTAATGACCGTTAAAATGGTGAAAATTTACAAATAATAATAAGGAGAAGAAGGAAAACTGAAATTTCACAAAGTATTTAATTTAAAATAGAAATTAAAAAAAGATTTTAAATATATCCTGTTTAATTGATTTTAATTATTTATTACTATCATTCATTAATTTTCTCTATGCTCTGCAGGATGATGACCGCAACGACACTCTATTTCACCCGCTTCTTTTGGCTTATAATAATTACATTGACACATGAGACATCTGCCAGTATTGTAGTATGATCTTGGAACAGTTGTATGATATTCTCGAGGAACATTACTATTACTACTATTTGTATAATAGACTTGTTGTCCATATTCTTCTTCATCATCGCATAAACAACAACACATTTTTAAATAACTAAAAATCAAAGAGATGCTAAAACTAACTTTGATAATATCATATTAATACCAACTACTTTGTGTAAGATTGACACACACGTTTTTTTCTCAATAATATTTAGTTTAATTGTAATATATCTTCTGTTAAAATGAAAAAGAATAAAGAGTATTATGTTAGTTTTACCTACTACTGTGACTTAAAAATAAAAAAATAATTTTAATACATAAAACATTTTTACATTCGTTTTTATTTTTTATTCATGACTTTTTGAACTTTGCTTTTATCATACATAATAGCGAAATTTGTACGACATATAAAATTAAGCTTTATTACAAATAATTTAGGATGCGTAAAGCCTATAGCGGATCAATTTTTATTCTAATGAATTTTTGTAGTTTAGTTCAGATAAAATAATAAAATTGAAATTTCTATAAGAAAAATAGTTGAAGATAGTGAGCAATTTGACAAATCATTCTTCCATAAAAAAAACTGTGTGAAAAATTTTATTAAAAAAAGTGAACTTTTCTATTTAAGATATGTTGTAGTGCTGGGCGAGTTACATATGCTCTGATATTCTTTTACACAGAAAGTATTTATTTCCCACGGTTATACGCTTTGGACCCTTTTTTTTTCTCACTTAGGCTGCTGTAGAAACAAAAAATATATGTTAAAAGCCAATTTCTGGGCAAATTTTTAAAAAAAAATAAGTACGATGGAGTGAAAGTTTCGCTACTCAATTTATCACATTGTGAACTGTGTTAAATCGTTGTCCGTTGACTTGATCTTTCCATCAAATTAAAAACAATGATGTTTAAAACTTAGAATTTTTTTAATTTAATTTATTTCAAGATTTTCCACTACATGCCATACAACAACATTTGGCTACGCATTTTAACCATGGTTTCTGCTGACGAGAAACAACAAGAATGATCTCTGTTTTTTTTTTAATATCTTGAGAACAAATGGTGACAGGGACTCACGAGTTTTGCCGTTCGAAAGACAAGACTTTGCACAGCTTCTCATTAAAAAAATGAGTTTAAGATCTTTGATACGAGTAGATCTTTGTGACGATCTCTAGTTACTCGTTTAGTGTTCCAGAAGCCAAAGTATGAAAATATATTGTCTTTTTTTCCATGAACAGATAGTCGATAGTGTCTTCTTTGAAATGGCAGTCAGTCAAAACCATGGTTTTCGATGATTCTGTCTTGGCATTTTTCTGAGAGTCTCAGAACTGGTATGTTGAAATAGTCCATTTCAGATCATTTTTACGTTACGTAACGCTAAAAAATTCATCATTCCGTCAACATCGATCACAACGACTTCGAAACTTCAGAAGATACACTGTTATGTAATATGTTCATGGATCTAGGATAAGAAAAGCAAAAAGAAAAACATTTTTCGTTCCAATTTGTTTTTTTGGAAAAGTCTGACTGGATAATCCGAATCTTGTCTTGAAACTTTTTCAGAGCTGTAAGGGTGTTTACTTTTAAGTAAATGAAAAAGAAAATATCTCATAATAGTTTTTATTTGTATATTATACACATATTCAAGGACAGTGATGAATTTCTGTTTATATTTGAAGGTTGGTTTTCTATCATTATTAAATCGAATGCGTATCAAAAACATTTTTGAAACATAATAGGTCTCTATGAAAACATTCCATTCCAGCTTCGATTGAATTAATTGAAATTAAAACATTTACCTAGGTGGCCTACTACCTTTTTTAAAAGAATTATTCAGGTGAATAATCAGTCTCGTGTTACTGAATCTTTATAAATGTTTCTATTTTGTGTCAAATACGAAACATATCGATTATAAAATCAAATAGTCTCCCACGTTAATAATTGAAAAATAAATCTAATTAAAAAGACAAATGATAAAAAGATATTTTTTTTTCTCTTCTTTTTGTGCGACTTATACTATTCGTCTATCTATTGTTTCCCTAGTGAGAAACTTATTCGAATTTTACTAAGATTTTTTCAAGATGGGGTACGAATCTGTTAGGATCTTAATAGTAAGAACAATGACGTTTTTTTAACAATATTCATTCGGGATCGATGAGAATTTTTGAATTTTAATCCACATTTTCCAAAGTAGCAGTTGAACAGTGTTGAAGAATGAAGAGAAATTTCATATTTTCGAGTGTCTAACCATGGTCGGACTTTAACCTGCCTGTACACTTTCGAGAGAGCAAGTACTAGCAGAGTCTGGAAGAAAATAACCGTAAAATCACTCATATTTTCGGTGTTACTTATATAAATGAATGAGACCAAAGGAAAGGGGTGAATGGAAGTAGAGTCATTAAATCTTATTAAGGTCTTAGATCATCTTATCAAAATCTTAAAGGGTAAGATCTTAGCAAGATAATTTTAAGAAATGTTTGAGATTTTTACTAGGGGTCCGTCGTATTTTCATCGTTTGAGTGATGTATACGATAACATTTGGCAAGGACCTATTCTTTGGATTCTGTTGAATACTTAATCATTTAATCATCTGACGTACAAAGGTCATGTTTACCGTGGAATGAAAAATAACAGGGCAAGATCTAGAGCATTATGTGGACGGTGGTAAAATAATAAACAAAGCTTTCATGTCAACTACAAAAGAACATCGGATAGCTGAAATACTTACCACAAAAAGCGTATCTTAATAGATAGGGAAATGAAACTATCGGTTCTATGTATTTATAACATCGTACTAAACCATCGTACGGGTTTAGAGATTGAAGGCATTCCAGAATATTCTCAGGAAAAAGAAGTATTGATAATGCCATACATAGCATCTGACGTAACGACGATAAAAAAAACATCCTAGCAATGGTAATAGAATTGATATTTATGTCGACTGAATGAGTTAAAACAAGCATCAGAAACATCTCACATCTCACCGAAATTACAATAAGAATCACAAATACCCATATCATCATCATCATCTAAAAAAAATTTCCAACGAAGCTTAAAACCAAGTTCAACAAAGTTAATGAACTGTATGAGAATAGATCGAGTTTCACTTAGCAATGACAGTTCAACGATTCCATCAAGTGGTAGTATTACACTTAAACTCATGTTCTAACACCATAGAATTTTGGATCTCAGTCTGAGGAGTCTCCTCCTTCTATACAAGGATTCACTGACTATTACGCAAAGAGTAGTTCTCTTCTCAGAGTTTTTAACCAATTTGATATGACGAAGTCTGCCAGGACTCATAGCAACTGCAGTCACAGATTCGGCGTAATAAAGTTCCTACTAAATCCCGCTAGCCCCTACTCTCTCGCATATAAGATCACACGTTCTTCAATTTTATTACTATGAGAATCAACGTGGTTCATTATCTCTGTTCCATCTGCTTTTCTGTTTCATTGATTTCAGAAGTAAACTGAAAAAACTTAAAAACTGCACTAAAATAAACTTCAAAATTCTTGTATTTCTTATTAGTTCCAATTGAATGTAGCTCACATCTTATTATGATTGAATCAATTTTTATCAATTGAAAAAGTTTTAAATACATACAACAACATAAAATGTTCATTCGAAAATTTTGGTTATGGCATAGTGACAATAGTACAAATTAATCCAATGTTTGTTGGCATGACTAACGAGTGAACTAAATAAAAGGGGTTACTCATGTGTTTACCACTCTCAGATAAAGTGTAAAAGCTCCATTCTATTGCCAAGGATAGAAAATTTTCTATTTCCACAAAGCCTTCTATATTCGACACTCACATTTAAAACTGTAACCCAGAGTAAGCACAAATAAGAAGCATCAATGCAACTTTCATTCAATAATTTTTGTTTTAGTTTTGGTGCATAAGAAATATTCACCATTTTAGGTGACATCAGATTTAAGAAAAAAGCAGGATAAAACTAGCCACAGTTATGTAATATAGTCATATGACAAAATAGATTTTGTACAGTAATAAGTTTCTATCTTTCATATCTGGCAAAAAATCTTGAAACTAGATGACTCAACATTTTGGGGTTATCCATTATTAATGATTGAATTTCTATTTTCTTAGAGATTAATTACTAGATAGATTAATATTAAGATTAATTAAATGCGAACTAATTTTTTTCTACAAACGAATACCTCTAACAGATAACTAACAGAAGACTTATTGAATGATCACTTTCCTCAAATAAACAAAAAAGAAATACAACTATTGCATTTGTTTCAGTATGCTCACTCTCTGTTACTTTTTCATATGAAGACGCGTTATATGAACACTGGATATAGAAGACTTTGTAGAAAATTTTCTATCGCTTGGCAGTAGAATGAAACTTTCACGCTTTACCTGAGAATAAGAAAAATATGAAGTGGCCCATTTTCCTCCCAACCGATCGGTTATAGTATTCAACCTAACATTCGTTTTCCTCTCATAGCATGAAATGCTTGTTGCTGATAACGTTTGACTAATAATAATTTATATAAATCAGGATTATTAATGTTCATTAGTTCTTGTTTTAACCAAACTGGATTATTTTTAAGCGCATAGTGATTAATCGTCGGCTGTTCATCATTGTTAGTATCATCTCCTGGTGCGGAGGATAGAAGTGGTATGGCGGTGCACATGAGTGTGAGATACAAATATGTAAACATCGTCGGGCGGGCGATCATTGCTAAAATAGATAAAACACATTGAGAAATACTATACTAATTTTTTCTTCGACCGCAGATAATTTCACTCGTGTTGGTTAAGAAAACGGTGACTGTAAACTTTTTCTAACTAATTTTTTATTAACGATATATAGCTAGAGAGTTATGCTTCGCATCATTCGAAGCGAGACTTTGGTGCATATCTCTATACGAGACCTTTTCTAAAAATCGTGTTTTTCAGTAGATCTGTGGGAATATACTTTCAGTCTCCAAAAACTGGGTATCAATTTGAACTGTGAGAAACTCTAATAAATGAATGAAAACCTCAGTTATCGATTACACTGAGTTCAGTGGTAATTCTTCTTTTCAAAAGAAAGTCTAAATATCTATTGGAATAACTAACTCATTTTAGGCTATTTTCACGTTTATAAAGCAGCTAGGACAGAGCATATTTTGAAGTCTGAGGTGCTACTTGACTGAGTTATATGAATATTTTAATTTTTTCAACAAAAAAGAGTTTTTTTAACCAGCAACAGATTAATATGCGAGTACCCTAGTGAAAGTACTCATACGATGAGTACGACTTTACTCATAATTCGTCCATGAGTACTCATATTGGTACTACTAATAATTTCTGAGTATTGTTACTCAGTGAGTACTCAGTTACTCATGTGAGTACTCAGGAAATATTCATTCACCATTTTATTTTGATAAACTGAAACTGTATAAAGAATGTAGAATTTAGTGAAGAAACACAGAATATTTATATTATTATTTTCTCACTGGTCTCTCTTTACTCAGAGTACTTGTTACTCACTCATGAGTACTCAGGTGAGTACTCAGTGAGTAAAAAAATGTATGAGTACGTATGAGTACTCGTCCGGTTTTTCTAGCAGAGTGCTTTTTGAGTACTCACACTTGAGTACATTCACTAGGGTAGACACATGTAGTAGCGCAGTGAATAAGTAGATTAATATTACCTTATGTATCGCTGAGTATTCTCTGAAAAAAAAAATAACAATATAGTCTTTTAGTCAACAAGTCTTTCTGATGTTATGACTGAATCTTGAAAACAAATAACAAACACAAAAACAATCTATATTTTTTTTATCAATAATTTTTTTCCAATCAACCAGATATATAGCCATAAATAGCGCTTTGTCCCACGACGGACGTGATAAATCATGTAGAAGACGCATTTCCTTATATTGAACAGAATTTTTTTCAAAAAATCTAGAAGAAAAGTCAAGAAAAGAACCAAAATATCTTTTTGTCAACTCTAAAAGGAAGACACGTAGTATTATTATTAGAAGACAAAAGTGAATGTATTTTCTAAAAGTAACAATAAAACTATGGAAGCATCTTCAAAAAAATCATTTCTTATTTCATTTAACGGTAATCCCTTGTCCGATATACGCCGATACTGACACTTTTATCGAAAAAAATAAGCACTGAGTTCGGTTATTTTTCGAATAACTCGAGAATAAAAAGAACTAGAAAGTTTGGGTTTTCACTATTTGAAAGAGGAAACCTGACCACATCTTTTCGTAACAGAGCAATTTCCTAAAATATTGTTCGAAAGTTGAATTCTCATGAGATCTCTCGAAAATCCAATCATAGCTCAAAACTACTGCATGTGGTTAATCGAGACTGCTAAATACGATTATACGATTAAAAAAATTGAAAAATCACCTTTTTGTTCAATTGTTTTCTAAAATGTCTTTCGAAAACCTTAGAGTTTTGTAAATTTAATTTGTTGCATAAGACATAGAATAGTCTGAGTACTCTATATCTGTAGTTTTGAGCTCGTTCTGATGTTTTTTTGAATGAATTGTGAGTTATTTATTTGTAGATGAACAGTACCTTGAAACTTAAATCTACGTAAATCTCGATGTTCACCAAATAAGTGGATTCTTTTCCGAAAATAAACATTGCCACCATGCCACCAGATGTAATGCGCTCGATTATATGTTTCATACTATTTTAAGACTACGACAAATGACCAATCCTGGGATTTCAAGGAAGCCTTGTACCACCCCTGAACCACTGAAAATCAAAGTCTCGCTTAATTCCTGTTTTAAAGAGAATATTCGGGACTATTTCCTTATGTAGGAAAACGCTAATATTAATAGTTGAAATTTTTTAGCTATGGCCGGGTTCTCATGAGAATTCTACTTTCGAACAATGTCTTAAGAAATTGCTCTGTTATGAAAAGATGTGGTCAAGTTTCCTTAGTGAAGACCCAAACTTTCTAAAATAACCAACTCACTGAGTATTTTTTCGATAACAATCTAAGCAACTTTTTGAAAGATTGAATTTTAACAACTTTTCAGGCCAAACAGAACGGTACGTTAACAGTCATCCTAAAAAAGGCCCGTTAACGGTGTAAAAACACGCCGTTTATGGTCACCGTTAATGTACCATTAATTTACGGTATAAAAACGGGTCGTAATATGATCCCAGTTAACGGCGTAAAAACAGTACGTTTACGGTACGGTACATTAACGGAGACTTAACGGATCATTAACACGCCGTTAACTTGGCCGTTTTGAACGGCCTGGGTTTCGGTATATCCAGTGAAATAACTCTGCATTCTGTTGTTGAATATTCGAGCTATTTCTGGAATATTTTCTTTTAATGCATCATCAATTTATTCTTTTTAACTAGTTGCGTTATTTTCCTATAGAGCGTATAAACTTCGAGAGAAAATACATTTGTTTACGCCAAAAATCTTGTTAGGACACCCTCTTGTGGGACTAAAAGCGTGAAACTCCTCTACATTAGCCGAAAGATGGTATTGGGAACAGTTTAAACTAACACAGAGGAGCAACGAAAATTGCAGCTGTCTTTTAAGATGAATACACTACCCTTTCAAGAGGGATACATCACTCTATTAAGATGAATGCACCTCCTGAACAAGATGATTACACTACTCTATTGAGAGGAATACACCGCCAGGTTAAGATGAATACACCCTGGGGAGGGGGAAGGTTAAAAAATAGATCAAAATCAAGGCTTTTTGAGTATAAAATTTCAACCCCTTCACCTTTTTGAAGATCCTGGAGGAATTTCACAAAAATAAGAGCAAATACTTCATTATTATTCATTCTATAAGGTCACTATGCAAATTATTAGACTATTTTTAATCAGCTAGAAAGGAATAAACAGTGGATGTGTCTGTCTTGTTCACGTGAAAAGAAATTGATTTCCGCCTTATTAGCAAAAAAAGGCAATACTACTTTATAATTTGAAAGAAAAGATTACGTATCATCTTTACACACTAATGGCATACTCAATTCAATTTTTTTGTTCTTTAATAGATATAAATTTTCTATTAAAAACTAACATTATGCAGTAATGGGAATGTCTCTTTTCATACAAATCAAAAATTGATTAAAAGCTAAAAGTTTTCAAGTCGTTTTATATGTTTTACTAGTATACAGCTAGAGCATGATGAAAAAGACGTTCAAGATGATCGTAATTAATAGTTAATGTCATCAAACAACAAGTGACGTACCAAGTATCGACTTCTATCTTACGAAAAGTATATGACACTTGTTTAATCCTTACGCGGAATGTTACTTTTGATAAGATATCAACATTTAATACTCTCTTTGAACTGCTGTCTATGCTAGTGAATGAGGTGCGGATTATTATTAATTTCAGCAAATTACGATCCTATTATAGTTATAACCATCTAGAAGTATTTGTGATTCATCGACAAATTCAGATATATGCAATAAAACATAATTCCTAAATTGTTACACGAATATGATACAATGAGATTAATATGCACTTATTTCTAATCAGAAACAAAAATTAATTAACTAGCTTTATAAAACGATGCATTTTTAAAATAGTGCGAGATGTATAAATACCTTTAGCGTTCTGAATCTGACTAAAACAGAAAATCATTCAGTATTATTTATAACTTCATTTGTTAAAAAAGTGTACTCAATTCTCGAAATGGATAAAGGTAAAAATTGTTTATCTCTAGGATATCGGTACTTGAAAGATAGAGTGCGAAACAATACTGGTGTTTAGAAAATCGTTCAGCCTGCAATGGTCGCGCTGTTCAAAGAGGATGGGTATTCAGGTAAAACTACTAGTATATAATCAAATGAGATGATTTTAATGAAAATCATTTAGAAAACGTATGCGCTTCATATATTTTGGAATCTGGAAGTTAAAGAATTTTTAACCACATCACAGAAGTTCTCTAAACGTAAATATTTTAATATTAATATTTGAAAAAATACTCAGCTCAGTGAAAACTGATATTTAATAACTCATGCATAGTCTGTTCGCGGCATAATGACATTTAATTTAAGGCTTAAAACTACCCACGAACGATCATTGTGTCCTGCCGGTTATTTCATCGTGAATTATGGCCTAAAAACAGGTACTTAATTGTATGTACTTATTGTGAAAGATAGTTCCCGCAGTCTAAAAATGTCCAGTTAACAGACACCGTTTTCCACGTCCTAGGTATGTCAGAGAGCATGTTCGTTCCGTTAGACTTTTGACTATGTCCGTTTGAGACTTTAATTTTAGTGAATGAATAAAATGCGTCTGGAACCAACGGTTTTGTCAAAATATTATGAAAAAGCGAATGTTTTTCAATAATCCCTAGTCGAGAGTCCCGGCAGAAGCCCCGTTTTGTAAAAAGCGGGTGGTTGGATTCCCACAGGACTCCCTCGGGAGTTTTTTTTCTCAAAAAATCCATAGGGAGTCCTACGGGACTCCGCAAAAAGTCCCGCGAGAGTCCCATACACAAAAAATTTTATTTTTTGAAAAAATCAGTATGAATAAAGAGGCAGGTACACACATTCAGGTGTACATAGCAAATTCAGCTCTCTGTTCCCTTATCTAAGTAGATCTCATTTTCGCTCGTCACAAAGTTACACTATCGGATTTTTGGACAACTTTTTTTTTGAGACACATCTCTTTCACAGATTAATTAAGTCCGTATATGTCACAGAAAAGAATGAAAAATCCTCGAAAATAATTATTAACCAGCG